ACTCGACGATATCGCTAATCCTCTCGAGGACTCGCGAGTGAAACATAACATTCTTCGTGAACACAATCTCTTGAGTGACTGAGATAACGGCTGCGGTGAGAACAGAGACAAGAGACCCTCCACTAGTAACTTGGCCATGGTGGAAGCTTTTACTTTCGGGACTTCAGCATTCTACTGTTGACTTACCTACATGGTTGATGTTCAACAACGTGTTGGCAGTTTCGTTTTGCAAACAAGCCGAAAATGGCCGACGTTTGGGAAAGTTGTTTGGCTTATGACGTCATCCGAAGCTCATCATCGACCATGTAGGTAAGTCAACAGCCGAAAATAGGGTGATGACTGTTGCTCGCTCATAATTGTCCATAAGGAATTGTTGAAACCCCGAAAGTAAAAGCTTCCACCTGTCGCTAGGAGGCCAGTGGAGGGTCTCTTGTCTCTGGGTGAGAATCAAAGATGAGGATCGTGAACCTGAAATTTCTGCCCTATATTGCATTGAAGCTTTGGGAGGCCTCACTGAAAAAAACTATGGTAAAATCTACCACAAGCGAGGAAAAAAGATACAACAAAATGGTCCGAACTGTATGTACACCGGAAAAAAACACATTGGATCTGCAGGGTTATCCAAAAGTCACCTACCACCCCTGTAACTTTTTTCCTAATTGAGATAGAAGTTTGAAACTTTCAGATCTCTATCTCAATTAGGAAAAACGTCACAGTTCAAACTCTTATCTCAATTAGGAAAAAAGTTACAGGGGTGGTAGGTGACTTTTGGATAACCCTGTGGAGTCCAGACTCTCAAAAACATCGACAAGAAAAAATACTCTTGATTCAATCGGATTTTTGCTTAAATCAAGAACCAAGCCTCTTAATTTGAGCGGATTTCCTTTTGATTTAAGCAAAAATCTGATTGAATCAAGAGTATTTTTTCTTGTAAATGTTTTCAAGAGTCTGAACTCTAGATCCAATGTGTTTTTTTCCAGTGTAAGAAGATGGAGCAATGGTGCTGGGTCCACACCATTTCGCGGGGAAAACTAACAGCAAGCAAAGAAATTTAAAAAAAAAATTTCAATTAGAGTCAATTTTTTTTGCTCTAATGAGTACCAGTACAAGACTGAGGGGGGGGGCGCAAAAACATTTTCGACTCTCGATGAAATGTTTTCTTTTTTTCAAATTTCTTGGCTTAGTTTTCCCCGCGAAATGGTGTGGATCCAGCATCATTTCGCCACCATGTTACATCTTCTGCAAGTCAATCCTTTCTTCTTATACAGTGATGCCATTTAGTGAAAATAACCAGAGTCATGGTAGAATTCACCGGATTCTAGTAATATGTACCATTATATGGTAAATGCCTCCATAGAGTCTGGTGTTTATTACCATACTCGTATCACCGTTTCAGAGTATGGTAAAATTACCATATTTTTCTTTCAGTGCTAGAATGATTTAAATTATTTTCGAAAGAGGGTTGCCGGTTTCATACATGGGTGGAATTAGGAGATTTTTGTGGAGGGGGCCATAAGGATACCTCGTCGAGGAAGGTCTGAGGAACACACACATTTATTTGCCAGAATCTCATACATTTCTTTTCAAAGGCCCAAGTAGATTTCTGGGTGGCTTGGGACTCTTCCGGTCTATGCTAGTTCCGCCCGTGGAGGGTTGTCATCAACTGAAGGAGAATAAGTACGAGAGGTACACGGACTTAATGTCCACTTTTTTATGTCCACAGACTTTTCGTCCACAATTTTTACGTCCACAGTTCTAAAGCCCACACTATTGTTAAGTCAATTACTTAAACGTCCACTAAGTTAAGTCCACAAATGTAAAGTCCACTAAAATCAAATTCAAGCGTCATATTTTAGTCAGTGTGTAAAATTATAAAGCCCGATCGAGGTGTTTCGTGTATAACTAGTTAGGCAGCAGCCACCCGTCGGTTTTTTTTTTCATTTGGTCTCGTCATTTTTTAGGGGGAGTTTTTTAGGATTGGGCCAGGTGGCTACCGCCATCTAGAATTGACAATATCGAAATGAGAAAATTAAGAGAGAATGAGGTGTTGTTATCGTAACTCATATTTAAATGAACTGTTAATTTTTTCTTTTGATTCATCTTTTCAAATTGTCTTTGGTAAATACTTGGTTTCATTTCTATCCTTGAAATTTCCGATATAAAATATGCCTCAAAATAATGTACATTCTTTTTTTTTAAATGTAATTGATTACTTCATTTTAAAAACATTATTACGTTTTTAAAACGTGGTAAATATTTGTAAAACCTTTTCCAAGCAATGGCATCGATATGAACCTCAATGAGCCGTAGTTGTGATGAAAGAAACTATACAAAAATTAATAAAAGAGGAAAAAAACCAAGAAGCACGCAATTTTTTGTGTTTAACTTATTTGTACATCGACCTCCTTGAGTCAAATACGTCCAATTTTGAGCGTTTGGTTGCGCTTACACCACGCTGCAGCATAGTAAAAGCCCAAAACATAAAAGAATAAATTTGAATACTTTGGATATCATTAAATTTGACACGGAACCACTATTATATTTACAAAAAACACATTATATTTTCCAGTAGTACATATTTCTTTTTCATCAGTTTAAAAGGGAATAATCAATGCAGAGAGTGCAAACATTTCAAAATCATGAGTTGAAAAACGCTGACTCCGCGAGTTTAAATATTAGAGCCTAACACAGAGCGGAGCGGTGTGTTAGCAGCTCAGAACGCACACTGGCGCCTACAAACCTAACGGGATACTTCACGCATTGCGCAACGCGTGAAGTATCCCGTTAGGTTTGTAGGCGCCCATGCGCGGGTCACGCTGATAGCCTGCTGCGCCGCAACGCTTTAAGCAACTATTTCGTGTTAGAGGCGTTGCACAGTATCCTACAAGATTGAAGGCGTACGAAATAACTAGTTAAAGAGGACTTTCAATTTTGACTGCATCTGTTACTGAAAAATGCTTAATTGGGCATTGGAGCGTTTCCTAGGCTCCCGCTTTGGTTTTCATCTTATCATATCCGCACAGTGTACACATGAACATATGTTTTTATCAGCTCTTAGAGTCTGTTCTCTTTCATGACTTGATTCATGAATGAAATGTTTTTAAGAATGAAGGTAGTAGTAGTATGCATTTATTTTTGAGGTGGTTCCTGTGATTTAAATGAGAAGAAAAAAATGTGGACATGTTATGTCCACAATTTGGACAATTTTGGACATATTCATGGTTGGACATTAAATCATGTGGACTTAATAGAGACTGGAACTAACGTTTAGTGGACATAAATAGCAGTGGACATTTACTTAATGGACGAAAGGTAGGTGAACATAAAGTCCTAGAAGCGTACGAGAGAAGCTTTTAAGCTTTTAAAACCTGAAAGGCTAACTAACGAGTTCCTTAAAAACTGCTAAAAGTCAAGATTTCGTTGAATATGGTGAAATCACTGGCACTGTTCCTGTTTGATGTTTAGGTACATACGTTTGCATCTCGGAAAACGGAGCATTGGCGAGTGTTTATCGTAAATACACCTGCACGTGTATGGATTGTGTTCAAAAAAGCTCAAATAGATGGCAACACAAGGCCCTGGTTTACAAAGTTCCAATATTGCCGCTCATGTCTTAATTTTGAAATAGAACTCTGATTGGCTTTTTTGCCCTAAATTCTGAGAGAACGTGAACGAAAAATGCTTGTAAAATCTAGGTAAATTTGTCAAAAACCAGTCCCTCTTTAGAGGAAAAAGCTAAAGACTAACAACGTTGCAAACTGAGATACGTGGTTCGGTACTTTCAACAACAATATTCTTACTATCAGGTTTATTTCAAAAATTCTCGTTTTGCTCTCATCGAATAGTACTGACTTTTTAAAATCGGACAAACGGGAGGGTCAGGAGTTCAATGGTCTCAAGCCTACATCGGTGTGTTTCCCGCAGGTGAGATTATGATAGATGCAGACGTACTCGTAATATCTCTTAATCTTGAGCAGTAGATTTGAACAAATCTTCGAGCCCAAATTCACTCAGGAGCGAACCATTTTTTTCCCTCAGATCATCACCCTAAGCCAAAGTATCACAAACGCCATTCGACGTTTCAAAATCTCCGCCGCCAATTTATTTTTTTACAGAAAAATGGTTGGTCGAATCAGTTTGAATATTTCTCTGAATTTAATCGGCAGCACGAAGAAAATTCAGTGAAATTTTCGGACAGCTTCGTTGAACAATTTCTCTGTAAAAAAATGAAATGGTGGCGGAAATTTTGAAACCTCGCGTGGCGCTTGTGATACTTTGGCCGGAAGATGACGAGATAAGACATCAAAAATTAAAATGTTGGCTTCTCTGGGGTAATTCGTAAAATTTTGTTAGGATCTGCTCCTTAAATTGCTTTTGATTACCTGGTACATCGCACAGTGTTAACTGTTTTACCAAAATGTATGCAATTTTCGTGGCCGAGGAGAAAAAAAGGGGTTTTTGCCCTGTTTGCTTTGCTATATGGAGTGACCTTTGAAGTGACGTCATATGCCTGGTCGATATGACTAAACACATATTATGCGTGCGCGTCAAACTCACGAAGTAAAAGGCTTAACACAATTACTTAAGCTGGTAAATAAGAGAGCTTCTTCATAGAGATTAAGATTCGAGTGTAGTGAATCCTCACTCGAACAGGGAAAGAAATCATGTAAATATGTTGTTCCTCCGCGGACGAGGCAAATTCTGGAAGCCCGTGACCTCATGGAAACTGACCTGTTTGCGGTTTCCGAAGCAACGAGAGGGTCGTGGCGATAACGAACTGCAATTTGGATAATCGGCTGCGGGAGTAAGAGAAGGCGATAAACCCTCTTGAAATTTGAGAGCTTTCGAGCTTTCGAGGGGAGAGCGAATTACGAGCCTCCGTTGTCCGCAACTTTTCCATATTTTGATGTAGATATCGAGATTACTCCTCTTAAGGGGCAGATCAAAACACTTAACCTTCGAGATTGCATCCATTTTGAATATATATATACTTCCTCAGCGGGATCAGATGTCAGTCCAGTTTCTTTCGTCTCACAAGTTGGGAGACGAATAGTGGTGCAAAAATTTCACAGTTCATCGTGTTTTTCGTTTCTTTTTTTTTACAGACAGTGTTTTATGAGAATTTCTCTTCTTTCTATCTGTGCTGAAAACAGGTACGACTTTTGTGTTCAAATTTTGAACAATTTTAATTTCTGGGGAGAGATTATAAGGGGTTTCAGGGCGCTTTCCTATCACCCGAAGAATAACGATCTTTGGAAGACCCCAATAAATTTTAACCTTCTATGCCATGGCGTTACGAATTTGTAACAACGTTGTTTTTGGTTTATGAAATTTGAGTTGCCTCTGTAGCATGGTTTTGCAAATTTGCTTTAGTTTTTTCTTTTTTGAATTTTTGATCCCCAAAAATTTAAAATTATAAATACAAATTGGTACCTACCCTATGTTTTTTATGCAAGCTACAAGATCAGTGTCTCCCAGAATCTGAGGTCCAAAATTAATTCATGCCATGGAGGGTTAACAGTACAGCTTTTGAAATCGACCCTTGCAAGACATTGCGATGATTTACCGCCGCAAAAAGTATGATGTACAAAAAAAAAAAACCAATCTAGAATTCCAAAAAACGTACCACCTTCAAGTCTATGAAATTCGCATTATTCTATTATTATGTATTTGGTGATTTTGATGGAAGCAGATCACTGCAATCCCTTGCAAGGGTCTACTACCGAAGTTAAAGCTTGTAATCTTACTCAAGCTTGCAAAAAAAGTACCTCCCGTGATGCGATCTTAAAGACCTCCTTAAACCTCCCTTAATCTCAATATACACTGTATGGAATCTGCCGGAGGGAAATAAGTTTTCCCAGGAATGACTTTGGAATTTTTTTGCACTTTTCATTTTTAATGAGCTTATGGGACCCTTAGTATGGAAAAAAGAAACAAATTAAGTGGAACTAGTGCCCGTTTCTTCGAACGAGTAATATACTGATCTAAGTATAGTTTGTGGTAAACCTCTCAAAATGAATGCGTAATATTGTTAATCAACAAGCCCTAGTCCCAACTTCCCCCAGTATCTTTCAATTTGTGCCGGTAAATGCCACTGACTAACGTTGCAATTGGAAATTTTAAACATCATGATAATTAAAATGCATGTCTATGCATTAGATGCATGTAGAGAGTTGAATACAAGTAGTATGGAATCTAGGAGATAAAATGGCATCCTCCATTCAATGAATGGACTAAAAAAAGAAAGAGACCATGCAAAATAAATAAGTAATTGTCTAGGGGGTGAAAAGGTCTTAGTCCTCAGTGGTCATAAAGTTACAGTGGAGCAACTTTTTTTTTTTGAGTTGAGTTAAAAAAAAAAGCCGGATTTTGAGATATCAACGGGGTGCTTTCTCAACTTTCCTGAAAAATAACTTTTGAGCGGTCCAGCTCATTCTTGTGCCAATGAAAGGAGTGAAGCTGCACTAAGATCCACCAATTTTGTCCCCTGAAATGACAGATTATAAGTTTATATAGCGCTCTATCTCGACCACGTTTCTTGAACTGCGAACTTTAAGCCGCTATAACTCAAATTCAGTCTCTTATTTTTGAACATGTTTTTTTCAACGCGTGCACAGAAAGACTCCGTTATAATTTGATATCAGAGACTAAATTTTGAATTTTTTTCGACTTTGATCTCATTTTTGTGAACGGTCCACTCACAAGGTAAAAATATTCAATAAAATAAAACTAAATTAAAATTAAATATGAGTTTTATTCGCTAAAAGAATAATCGTCTGATAGGTAAAGGATAGCAACCATAAATATTGTGCATAGGTTTCGTAGGCTGATTGTGAGCTTAGAGCTACTAAAGCAAAAACCTCGTAACTTTATCACAAATTTTACATTTATATACAGCAAGCTTTAATACACAAAAACCTGATCATTATCATGCTTCATTTTTTCAATACAAATTTTCAATGATATTCCATACCCAACACTGGAAAAAAAAACACATTGGATCTAGAGTCCAGACTTTTAAAAACATCGACAAGAAAAAGTACTCTCAATTCAGTCAGAATCTAGCTTAAATCAAGAACCAAGCCTCTTAATTTTAGCGGATTTCGTTTTGATTCAAGCAAAAATCCGATTGAATCAAGAGTATTTTTTCTTGTCAATGTTTTCAAGAGTCTGGACTCTAGATCCAATGTGTTTTTTTTTTTTTTTTTCCAGTGAATCTAAGAATACAAAGTTTTCGTCACTTTTTTACGATAGGGTGTTTTGCCAGGGAAAAAACTAAGGAAATGAGTTCGGTTTGGATGGCAGAGAAACCGTACTTACATCTAATTTTGTAATGTTGTGCACCTTCTGCAATATTTTTTTTTTCAAAATAGGAAACTAGAGATTGCACTGTTTTTGATATTGCCGCACTCTCTGTTTGAGGAATATTTATGACCAGCGTGCGAAACCCCGTATCTCCATTGCAGTGTTTCAGAATGTCCGCTTCTCTTTTATTTTTTCGAGGAGAAACAAGCCAACTTTATAGCTTGCAATTTTGGAAGAATATTCTGCTAATGGGAAAAAAAATCAAGGGAGTTTTCGATAGATTGATTACTAGCGCGCCGTTATAGCGACTTGTGCATAGCTCGTTGACTACTTATTCAAGGCAACCATGAAGTTTGCAACGTTTCAAATGAAGATAAGTGGTTTCTCATTTTTGCCATCAATATTCTGTGTAACACATTACCTAATTTGTTTCCCATTAATAATATAAAATTGGAGCGGAAATTTTGAAACAACGCAATCAAGAAGCGTGCTCCTAACGACTAGAAACCATGAAGTATGACAGGAAGTCTGAAACGTCGCAAATGGAGATACGTGGTTTCCCACTTAGGCCATCGATATTCTGAGTAACACATTACCTAATTTGTTTCCCATCAAAAATATAAAGTTGGAGCGGAAATTTTGAAACACCGCAATCAAGAAGCGTGTTCTCTATGACTAGCATCCATACAAGTTCCATGACCACACTCAAATTTTGCACACTTCAAGAAGTTACCTACATCTCCAAGTGGTTCGCACATTCGAAACTGTTTCACAATATATGATTTTTCCTGGTCATTCATTCCACACGCCTGAAACGTGCTTACATTGATTATCAATGTTAAATTACATAATTCGCCACAGATTCCTATCATCTGGAACTATTTATGCTAAAAGGAACTATGTTGCACGTAAACTCTATGCGCATAGTTCTTTTTAGCATAAATTCGTCCATCGTCTTGATTGTCTAATGTCAAGTGCGATTGATGTTTTCAAGAGCTCGCACGAGGCGAGCAGAAGGCGACTCACGATTCAGTGAAAAATCAGGAAGATATAAACATACTTATGCTAAAAGGAACTATCTGAATGGGGTTTGCGTGCAACATAGTTCCTTTTAGTATAAATACGGCCATATAATCCAGAGGCCGATTTCTCGCGACAATTCAAGGAGTCAAGCCTCTCAAAATGTTTGCGATAGCCTTTCATTAGCTCATTATCATTCATGAGCAATGAAGTGATTTGTGCGTTAGAGATTCACAGTCTGAGTATGTATCACTCGTTAATGGGTATCATGGATGGAGGACGTTTTCAGGATTTTGTAAAAAACAAGTTCAAAATTTATTGATAAATTCATTGAAAAATTGTAATGCAGTTACAGGTACTGCTCCTGCTCATTGCTCCTGAAAGAAATAATTCTCCGTAAAAATGTGCATCATACAATAGTATTTTGAACGATCTTTAGCTCCTGAACGAACATTTATCTTGAAATTTTCAGCATGTCTCAAAATACCGATTTTTTAAAATTTTAACATTGAAATATATGAAAAGCATTTGTGGAGGGAAAAAGGAGAAGAGCTCATAGATTTGATGAGTTATATTTCCAAACATATTAAAATTCGTGAGTTCTTCGCCATAAATTTACAAAATTTCGTATTTCGTCAAAATGTGACTATCTGCATAGGCATTTGATGAAATGCCTGATTTGACTAATTGCCTGCGACAGTTACACCCTTATGTCGGGAGGGCGACGAATCATGAGTAAATTATATTTATACTCCATAGAAATTAAATTGGTTTACATTGTTTACTGTTTCAGGATTAGCACTATGAGATCGACAATACTATTAGGCGCTTTTACTTTATGGTTGTTTGTGGCCGCGGAAAGAGTACAAGAAAAGGAAAAGGAATGGTGGGAAACGACTACAATTTATCAAATCTATCCAAGATCGTTTATGGACTCGAACGGGGATGGGATTGGCGATCTCAATGGTAAATATTTAAAATTTTCGGATTATATTATTTCCAGAAAATCTCTACATCGATAGATATTAGTGGCGCTTAGGTGTTGAAGAGGGCCCTAGTGCACTTTAAAAGCGACCACTACATGTATACATGATTTGTGTATAACGCATTGAAAACAAGGTATCATTTTACGAAAGAAAATGAAGAACCCTTGGGAAAAAGAGTTTTTATTGGATTCATTACAAGCAAATTTAGTTGCAATGTCGGCACTAATAGTTCTTGCTCTAGTTAGTGCGCCAAATTAGTTTAAGAAAAGCTGAATCGTCAACATGATTTTAATAATAATTCGTCAGACATCTTTGTGCGTGGGTATATTTTTAGTTTTTACAAATAATAATTAAGTAGCTATTATTTTTTATCTTCCGTAGGAATTTACGAGAAGCTGGATTACATCAAAGGCATTGGCATTGAGACTGTATGGATACAACCATTTTATAAATCCCCGATGGCTGACTTTGGCTACGATGTCTCTGACTTCAGGGAAATTGAGCCTATGTTTGGAACAATGCACGATTTTAAAAAATTAATTGCCGGCATTCACGAAAGAGGTAAGAATGCTTTTTATAACAGCCTAGCTCTAGAATTCTTCGAACAAAAGGGTTTGAAATTATGATTCCCAAGAATAAGTTGAGAGCCAAAACATGTCAGATTGAAAGTTTCAAAAGTGTGTTTCTTGCAAGCAAGGTCTGTTGACTAAAACAATTATAATTCAGGTTCAATTTGACATTTTTCAGCGTCTTTTGGTGCCAAAAGATTAATCATTAAGCAATCTTAAAAGTTCCTAAACTTCTCTAGGTAACCCCATCAATAAGTATCTCAATTTTTATGAGTTTTTGGTCCTCCTGCCAGTGGACAGAAACTATAACATTATATTCCATTATCTTATCGATTTAATGTTTTTTTGTGTGAGAAAATAAATGATTATGACTTTTTAACTTATCAGGTATGAAACTAGTCATGGATCTGGTGCCAAATCACGTGAGTGATGACAGTGAGTGGTTCAAAAAGTCGGTCAACAGAGAAGATCCCTACACAGATTTCTTCCTATGGAAGGATTCGAAGGGTTTCAACGATGTGACAAAGAGACGGATGCCACCGAACAATTGGGTATGAAGACATGCTTACATTTTAAATAATTTTTATAGTCTCAGAGTAGATTTTTCATAAATTTACCACGGCTCCAGCCTAGTAATGCAAACTTTGTGTGAGAGTCATATGAGTCAACGCGGGTAATTATTGATACTTTGTTGATTCCCAGATATGACAAAACGTAACCACATTTCAACGTAGCAGAATTTTCACTCGTCAACTAAGTTTTAACCAAGAGCTCAAGTACTACAGTGCAACGAAAATGTTGAAATTAAATTGGAATTTGATTTCAATACTATTGTTATATTTTTACCATTGAATTGCAATATTTTTACATCATTCTGTCGATTTATGCCGATTTTAAACAATCGACAAAATGAGCTGCATGTGTCAGAAAGATAGGCAATATACAATGCAATGAAAAATTGCAACTTATTTCAATTATATTGCAGTAACAATAAGTTTCAATGAATATGGAGCCCCTTCAAATAGGTGCTAAGCAACATACACAACACTCGGTTGAATTGTAATATTTTCACTATGGAATTTCTACTTATTGAAATCTGTGCTACTTGGGAAACGGGTGCAAATATATTATGTACTGAAAAATTTAGTGATTTTTTCTTATCAAACTCAAAATTCAGTATTTCTAGACCTTGTATACTCACGTCTCATAAAAATTTACTCGTGAAGTTACTCAGGGATTTACAGACACAAGTTTGACATTTTAAATGCTAAAGCAGTAGGTATGTAATTTTTTTCGGTGTAGCCAACACAAATCATGTTACTACTTTACTGTAAAATGTATGTTTTTGCAGCTGAGTATATTCGGAGGCTCCGCTTGGGAATGGAACGACAAGAGGAAGCAATTCTACTACAAGCAGTTTTCCAAGCGTCAGCCGGATCTGAATTTCAGGAACCCCGAGGTCCAAAAGGCGATGAAGGACGTGATGCGATTCTGGTTGGATCTCGGAGTCGACGGTTTTCGAATTGACGCTATCAAACATTTGGTAGAACGCGCAGATTTCAAGGATGAGCCCTACCTTCTCCCCGAATTAGAAGGCTCTCCCAGCTACGATTCTCAAGATCATATTTACACTGTTGACCAAGAAGAGACTTACGAGATCATGCACGACTGGCGATTGCTGGTTGATGAATACAAAGCCCAGGACGGAAAAACAAGGTATAAGTCAATAAATAACTAAAAAAGTAAATCTTTTGAGCAATGCTTTTCTGTGAGCCTCTCGTGCTTCTTCTTAGATGCAGTGAAAAGATTCCCGAAAATTTTAAAGTTTTCCCTACCACACTACATGATACGGGCAACATATGTTATTTTCGGATTCAGGAAAACATTCGAACCAAATTAATCAATGGATTTGGAGATGGATTCCTATAGTTCATCTGGAAAGCTAAATGAAGCTCACACGATACTCTGAAAGCTCAAATAAAGTTTCAAAGTTTTCATCTATTCCCGGACCCTACCAATTTGTGAGCATTTTAGAGTCTGCTACCGATTAAAATTTCTCAGCCAACATGCGTCGCATAGTGGATCGAGTCACTAGATTATGTCGGACATAATTCGGAATTTTTAAACGCTTCAATCTCCCTTTATACAAAACTTTGACGTTTTAAAAGTAGTTCCATTGGTTTCCTTGTGAAAATTTGTCCTAGAAACGCCCCTTATCATTTAAAATGTGACGAAATGAACATAAAAATTTGCAGTTTTGGTAAAACATTTCAAATCCGACCACTCTAATTGACTCAATCCACTGTGGATCGATGAAAAGTGGGGGAATTTTCTCGTCTGAATCTATCATCTTTTACAGTGAATGGTGAGAAATATACTTTTTAGTTTTAATTATGGTAACGCTAATTAACAATAAACCACAACGGTAAACTGTAAAGGCAAGACTTTTCTCTTTTTTTAATTTCATTTGAATTTGTACATCAAAATATATTATCAAACCTTCTTTCATAATTACAGAATCTTATGCACTGAGGCATATACTTCCTTAGACATGCTTTTGAAATACTTCGGCAACTCGACTTACAAGAGCGCTCACTTTCCGTTCTACTTTGGATTCGTAGAGTTCAATTACCAACAAAACGCGGCAGATCTGAACGAGAAGATCCATCAATTCATGGATGAAATGCCAAAGCATGGAGTCGCCAACTGGGTGGTAAGTTTTCAGATTTTTTCACATCAATTTCATTTTTCATATGAGGTAGGAAATAGAGACAGAACTGTGGTTCAGCGAGCTATTCCTTTTGCATATACCCATAAGCGCAGTTACTCATGAAAATTTAATTCTGGTGCTTTGTCCCCAGAAAATTGACCAAATACTGCCAACTAATAAAAACGTTACTAAATCAGTCTATTGGTCGTAAAATTTTCAATATATATCCAATGATCTCTCGTTAATCGCTCGAGTGGTTAAGAATCGACGAACATTACCTTTGATTTTGAGAAAAGGTTTATTTTTGTAGGAGAGTAGAAGAGTCACACATTAGCTCACATAGCTCACATTAATTTTGAGAAATCATGTCTGATCAAATAATTTTTTCTGGGGGGGGGGGGGTGTCGAGTTATTTGCATTCTCAACATACTTCGTGAGGGATCTTTACAATCCCTAAAAACGCAACATTAATCAACATCCTATTAACTGTATTGATATAGCAAGGGGGTACTCCCTGATTGATTCGCGGTCAATCCCCCCAAAGTAATTGGACATTGGGGGGGGGAGAGGGGGGTCGATTTATTTGCACCCCCAACATATCGACTATTTTAATCATAAAATTAGGGGGTGCGCCCCCTGTCTGCTTGGCGGTCAAACCCCCTAAAGCAGTTCGCATACTACTGGACCACATTTTGCTATAAGGAACCACTATTTCTGGCTCATTTTAGAAACAACATATCCGCCATTGGTTTCCCTATGCAGAAAGGTGCTTTCACCATGCAATGGAAGAGCCATAGTGATTCCTCATTGCTAAATGTAATCCTATTATGATTTCATGAGGATGATTTGTGATTTGCAGGTGAGCAATCACGACAATCCACGTTTGGCGAGTCGGACAGCCCCTGAATTCGCGGACGCGATGAACATCCTACAACTGCTCCTTCCTGGAGTGGCCAGCGTCTACTACGGTGACGAGATCGGCATGAGTAATGCCCTCGTCCGCAAGGATCAAACCAAGGACCCCAACAACGGCGGCGGTGGCAGAACCGACACCCGAGACGCAGAGAGATCGCCTATGCAATGGGACAACACTATGAATGCCGGTTAGTTGATAATATATGGACTAGAGAAACTTTTGTAGGGGACAGTCACAAGACAATTATTGTAAAGAAGTGATAAAATATCGCATACTCACTTGCGGTAATTTAAAAATTTAATGGGACGCGTTTCGGGGTCGATATGGCCCCATCATCAGCCTTCAGCGAACACTTATATGGAACACATTATGGAATAGTGGAGGAAGTCCATCGATATAGCGATGGCCATAGTGTAAAAGCACGAATCTCCGTTTGTAACTTCGCAGACTTCTTGTCATACCTCATGGTTTCCTCGAAAAACTAGTCAGCGTAATTTATCGAAAAAGTAGTGCAGTATACTTCATTTTGCATTTAAACTTAGTTTATGTTGAAACGTTTTTCGAGAATCCCCCCATAAAAAGACCACAAAATACAACTTTCTTTTAGTAACAATTTCATTAATGAGCTGACCTGGTTTTCAACGTGCATTATACGGTTGTTTTCAATTCGCCTTCAGGCGCGTCCGCAGCAATTTTTGTTACAAATATGTTGAACTTACTGATTTTAGCTCATTACATACTTGATTCTCTGAAGGCGTTTTGTGTGCACAAGTGGAGCACCCTGTTGGAGAACAATAAAAGTGAGATTGAATGAATCGCCGAATCCCAACTTCGTTTGTTCTCCGACAGATGACGCTACTTGCGGACACAAAACGCCTTCAGAGATTCGAGTATGTAATGACCTGAAATCAGCACGCACAACATATTCGCAGCAACAATTGCTGCAGACGCATTTGAAGGCGAATTGCTTTCGCACATTAAACGCCTTCAGAGAGTCAAGTATGTAATGACCTAAAATCAGTACGCACACATATTCTTAACCACAATTGTTGCAGACGCAACAGAGGGCGAATTGTTCAGTTAAAAAAAAAGATTATGACAGGTAGTCTGCATGTAACGAGAGGGTATGTCTTTGATCCACATGAATCGATCGAAAAATGAAATCGTGAACCGATCAACACCGATTCGATGGACAAATAAATAAGAGAGCAAATCAAAATCGGTTGAAAACTTACAAATGCAAATTTCAAATTGCGATATCTCGAATTTAATATCAGCCAAAATTTTTATTTTTCGAGATTTTAATCATAGACTCACCCCCTACAAACCGTTTTTGGGTATATTATTGTCGCATTTTTTTTTGCTTCAGGACCACTGTGTGTAAGAGGTACACTTGAATTAAGAGAGAGTTATTCACAGAGATGGTTGGAAAAGCGCAGTTAATATTTTTTTAGATCACTTGTATTACGTTTTCGTATACTGTTATTTCATTTTTTTTATCCTTTTTTTAACACGCAGGTTTCACGAGACATAAGGTCCCCTGGTTGCCAATTAATGCCGACTATTGGTACAACAACGTCAGAACCCAAGAGCACACTCCTCGAAGCCATTTGAATGTTTTCAAACAAGTAATGAAATTAAGAAACACTAAGGTCATTAAGAATGGTGACATTGATACTTGCATTCTCAACGATTGGATGTATCTTTACGTCAGGTGAGTGTGTAGTTTTTTCGTGAAGACATAAGTATTTACAAAAATTGGAGCAAGTTCTTCATTTTCATGAAAACGCCTTGTTTTCCAAGTTCCTCTGCAACGAAACAATCAAAATATTTGCCTGAAACCATTAAAGGACAAATGAGGAGCTTGGAAGACAAGGCGCATAAGTGAAGCTTTCGCTATTGCGAGAAATACATGTTTGAAGTTCTGAAATAACATGAATCGTATATGTGGAAAGAAAGTTCAAACTGACTTTGTGATGCTGAAAAATTGTAATTTGGAAGCGAATTTTTCACAGAAAATGCATTTATAAGACTAGTTTTACTTGAAATCAGTAATATCTCAATTTTTTTCAAAAACTACACATGCGCCTTGTCCTCCTAGCCCCTCAAATCAAAAGGCGAAGATTCTTCACAAAAAGCTCTGGAAGATGATATAATACACATGGATAGCGAAATTACATCATCGCAACTCGAAGTACATGTTTTTGCACATTTTTTTCATGTTTACTGTCACCGTCTATATGCTTCGCTCCGTTTTGACCTTGATAAAGATATAAAATTAGAGAAGCTCTGTGCTAATAAGAGCTGTCAGTCTCATGTTGTTTTCTGTAATTAACATTGTATTCATCTGTTTTCACAGAAAACTTGAGGGTGAACCAACCGTTGCAGTGATTGTCAACCTGGGGTCTGAATCTGAACAAGCGTGCGCTCAAGATTGCTTGAAATATTTACCCGATGTCATGGATGTTTACACTAGCAGTGTTAACTCAGCATACCTACCTGGGTAAGTCGCTACTCCGAGGCAAAATAAGTTTTCAGCAAAGTGAAAAAAAGTATTCTGATATCTGAAATTTAGTACAGGAGCTACCTACAATTAACGTTAGTAAAGTAAATGTAATTTAATGTTCAGTATTCAAATTTCGTATATTTCCACAAACAAAAGAAGTACATTTTAATGCTGCGAAATCTGCAGTCGCATATAATATTTTTACCAAACAAATAGGCGGGAATTTCGAATCAGGAATTTCACTGATTTTCCTTTCAATGGCACCTGAAAATCGATACAATTTTGGACCTAAATTGAACGGATACATTCTTGTATCAAACTGAATTGATCGAATCAATTTTACAACTTTCGAATGGAGTGACGTTTCTTTGTTTGGAGAACGATGCTATTTGGATGAATATTTGTCCCTTTGGACGTGTGAAAAAAGTCTTTACAATTAAATGTCATTTTTGAACAATTCCATTTTCAAAACGACTTTTTTATATTTATCATGAGATATAGGAACAAACTTTAATATTGACGGATTGGAATTACTTCAATTCATTCGGCCGTGCGGGAGGTGAGGATATCCTGCTAAAAAAGAACATTTTAAAATCATCGGTTTGCTGAAGTTTATTTCTAATTTCTGTTGCAGGGATAAATTTGCTACTACCTACACAGCCAAAAGTTTCTGCTCGGTTCTAAGACCTAAAGCAGCAGTTGTTTTGACCAGCGACCCCATTGACACGCACAGTAGCGCAACGTCTATCGTTTCTTACTCATTTACTGTGATTATTTCTCTCATAATCGCACTGTTCACGAACAGAGTCTGAGCTTTATAACGTACCGAAGAATGAGTGCCAACTGCCTTCCTAATTTATAAGTTTTGTGTAAATAGTAATTTATTTATTTTTGATTGTAAATAGAATTTATTTGTATAAATTAGTGATCTTCTTGTGTGTGACTATTTATTTATTTATTCGTAATTTTTACGACTGTGATTTGTTAAAAATAATAATTTATTAAATTGTTGTTTTTTCTACAAAAACTCACTTTGTCTTATTTGCTTTGTTTGAGAATGGGATCATATTATTTGAACCCACCTCATTTTTTTGAGCATGGGATCAACTTACTTGAATCCACCTAATTTCCTTTTGAGAATTGGGTCAAAACAGAAATCTTTTAAAGATGAAAAAGATGAAAAAGTATACCGAAACATACATATTGTTGAATAAGCTTCTTGGCTTGGATGCATTATTGCATTATTATGCGTTGAAATCTTTTATTAAAACGTTCCTACAAATTGGCACTGTGCTGTGGGGGTATTGTCCTCTGGCATACCTCAAAAATTGAAGGCGAAACATTAGCGACGTGCGTACGCATACACTCCGTGACTTCCTCGTATGCGGCTTCCTCTAAATATCAAGTAAAAAACGCCACTGTGGGCTGATAATTTAAATTTATAGATAAAGCCATGGACAAGAATATAAAATTAAAACGCCAAAAACAACTAACTATTAATAATTTAATTAGAAATCCTAGAGAAGGTGGAAATCCAGCAATTCTCAACCCACGGATGAATATCATTGCATTCTTTAGATACAGTAACTCAAGCTAATTTTAACTGCAAGATATCATATTTTTTCAATAAACTACCTAACCACCGAAGTATATAAACAAAACCAATAAAATGATTAAAGAATATATGCAAACCAATTTTTAGTCCATAAACAACTTAGCAGCTTTTAATCATATATGAATAACCTATTATTCTTTGTGATGTACAATTTTGCTGAAATATACATGTATATCATACATGTGTATCATACCATACATGTGATATCAACAAAAAATATGGCAACTCTTGAATGTTCATACGGCGTTCTTCCTTAGCACGGCAGAATTGAACTCGGCCTCAAGAATCTCGACTGGTGAATGCGGTGATCAAGAACCTAACGAAGCTTCCTTCATAAAGTCCCTCGGGTCGGAGGCTCAGGAAAAGTCATCTCGGACACAATAATTGATTCTGGAATTGGCCGTCCCGTTTCCTCAACCTGGATCGCGCCGGGAATCAGAGAGGGGCTAAGTCGAGTCAACTCCTCGTAAGACCCGTTAATCCCGCGTTAAACCCTTAATAATCTCAGTTGTAAATCCTAGCAAGCCCTGAACGATAACCGCGGGTGCGCTCGGGGTTCCCGTTGGGACTTAGGCGGTTCTCGCGAAGGGAGGGGCGAAGGGAAGGGGCGCGGCAGGGGAGGCACCCTCCGCCGGCGGGACACGGGGGAGGGGCGCGGATTTGAATAAAAACACGGGCGAAGCTTGCTCTGCGGTGGCGGTGCTGTTTTTCAGTCGTGTTTACTGCGCGCCACGTGCGAGTGGACGCGTGGCCGGCGTCTTGCACGCGCGTCGCGACGCCCGGCGCATCCCTTCGTCCCCGCGACGTCGCAACATTTATGCGAAGATCCAGGACGGAATGTTTAAGAAGCTTCAGTCGTCTGGTGAAATTGTAATATTATGACTTACACGGACTTGCAGAAAGAGTAATTCTTGACCTAGATAAGTTTACAAAAGGAAAAAGAACTCTGGCTGTAAAATCTGTGCTTACGGGCTATTAGATTAAACTTATTTTTTTATTTTATAAGCTATTTATGTATACTTTGATGAATATTCAATCTATTAAATGTGTTTTTTCCATGCATCAACTTAAATTTAGCCAGATAGATTTACAGATCATCATCAGGCAATTGGCACCTTCTGATCTCCTCCTCCACCCCTTGTCGCCAACCTTTCACAGGACCTTTTAAAAAATCTGGGGATTTTATTCTGGTCTCAAATTTTCACCTCGAGATATTTTCTCTCTTTATACCATTTTCAACATGATTCTTAAGAGAATGACTAAAGGGTAATTAAAAATTTCCAATCCACAAATATTTATAAAAGAGGAGAGCGTGGTTTTGAGGCTGACTACAAGCATTTCACGAAGTACAAAGATCATTGCTTCAGTTTGTGCAAAAGGCCCTCCACTAATCCACTGGCGACAACTGACACAAATTAAACATGGTCAATGGGCCTGTTGCATGCAAGAGATACAGCCGTGCGAATAGACTTTTTAGAGGTTAAATGCCACGAAAATTACGATGGTCACATTAAAAAAGTCTGAAATACACTCCTTACTGCGCAATTTGCATTGTTAGGAACGCGTTTTTTCAAATTTCCCGCGTCTGAGGGCAGTTTTCTAACGGAAACAATTAACGGCAACTCGCGGCTATTTCCGGTCAACTAAAACTGACAACATAACCTAAAAATCGGAGCTCGTGATATCGTGAAATGAAATGTAGAAGGATTGCGTTGGATATTTAAAAGTTGATCGATTTGGTGACCGCATAAAGCGTATATGGACCACTATAAGAGATCACGTTGGGTTTGTAAACAAACTGAAGGAAAAAATAACAACAACAACAACGACTCGGCATCTTCCGGAAATCACCAAGCCCGCCGTTTGCTCGTTTCCGGTGATTAGAAAACTGCCCCCAGACGCGGGAAATTTGAAAAAGCGCGTTCCTAACAACGCAAATTGCGCAGTAAGGAGTGTATTTCAGACTTTATTAATGTGACCATCGTACATTTCGTGTCATTTAACTTCTAAAACATCTATTCGCGCGGCTGTATCTCTTGCATGCAACAGGCCCATTATGTTTCCACTTTTATCTCATGATTTGACACATGACAAGTGCGTGCAATTGTCAATAGTGATGATTTAAAGCCTCAAGCAAGCAAATATGTGTGACTGAGGATGACTTAATTACCTAAAATGTAATGACTTGACATTATAATACTGTTTTGAAGAAAAAGAAAGAAAAAAAGAGTCCATGCACCGATTGGGGTATTCAACACAATTTAATCAGTGAGAACGCAAACACACCAACTAGGTGACTCAAAAATGCTCAATTTTCATTAAAGAGAGCCAATTTTCATAAAAGCCATTGCAGTTAAATGCATCTGTTCCAACTTACGTACTTGTCTTTTGGCACCCAATATCTTTTTCTTTTGCTAATTTCTTCCACTACTGTGCAGTTTTGCGTGTGTCTTGATTATTTTCATCTTTTCGAGTTGGTGTGTTTTCGTTCTCACTGATTCAATTTGAACACAATTTGGCAATGTTGCGATCTCATTGAAAACTTAAGGACAATATTCCTCTTTATTCAAGGCTTAACTGTTGCCATTATTAAATTACGGGGCTCGTTTTTTAGTCTTGTTTGCGTTGCAACCCACCCCAGCCGGTGATAAAGCGAAGAAAGCCGCGGCCCCCCGAAAAGGATTTGGCGTCGCGTAATTGAGTTCCGTTTGAGCGAGAGGCGACACTTATTAAGATTCATTACCGGCCGATCCCTCGCGTCCGCACATATTAAAAATGTCAGAATATTAAAATGTGATTCCCGCTCATACGAGTGATATCCTCGCCTGCGCTTGGATTTGTGCAGGCGAGAGGGTTAAAGCTAAATGACTGCAAGCAGGATTACAACGGATCAAGGGTTCAATATTGTCGGTAGCTTGACTTGAATTACGGTTTCTTATCGATTTTTTAACGAATCCACGCGGGGAAAAAACTATGTTCTGGAAAAGAAAGACACATTGGATCTAGAGTCCAGACTCTTAAAAATTCCAAGAGAAAAAGTACTCTTGATTCAATTAGAATCTAGCTTAAATCAAGAACCAAGCCTATTAATTTAAGCGGGTTTCGTTTTCATTCAAGCAAAAATCCGATTGAATCAAGAGTATTTTTTCTTGTCAATGTTTTCAAGAGTCTGTATATACTCTAGATCCAATGTGTTTTTTTCCAGTGTGGTTAAACTTGCCGTTTTACTAATGTCCCCTATACGAGCTCTAAATTAATTGAGGGCCTTGGAAGACAAGTGAGATGAGTGCAGTTCTTGAAAAAAATGAGATGTAAATGATTTCAACTAAAATTGGCCTAAATTCATATTCTGTGAAAAGTTCACCGAGAACCCCCAATTTTCAATAATCAAAACGTGAGTCAGGACTTTCTTTCACCATTAAGCTCCATATAATTTTTAAAGGTTAAACGTGTATTTATATTTACAATCTAACTCGAAGTAAGTGCGCTGAGTTAGCACTGCTATTGTAAACATCCATGACATCGAGTAAATATTTCAAGCAATCTTGAGCGCACGCTTGTTCAGATTCCGATCCCAGGTTTCAATCACTGCAACGGTTGGTTCAATCTCAAGTTTTCTGTGAAAACGGATGATTACAATGTTAATTATTTTACATAGATAACAGCATGAGACTGACAGCTCTTACGAGCACGGAGCCCCTCTAATTTCATATCTCTATCAAGGTCAAAATGGAGTGAAGCATGTAGACCGAGACAGTAAAAATTAAAAAAAAATAATGAAAAAAAAAAACCTAAACTTTGAGTTATGGTTATGTAATTTTGCAATCTGTATTATATCATCTCCCAGAGCTTTTTGAGAGAGATCTTTGCCTTTTGATTTATCCTTCAAAAGTCTCAGGCAAATATTTTACTTGATTTTGTTGCAGAAAAATGAGGGCTTGGAGGACAAGGCGCTTAATTGCAGTTTTTGAAAAAATTGAGATATGCATGATTTAAACTAGAACTAGACTCAATTCATATTCTGTAAAAAATTCACCGCAAAAGCCCAATTTTTAAGCATTAGAAAGTGAGTTTGAACTTTTTTTCCGCTATAAGGCTCCATGTAATTTTTAAACTTTAAACGCGCATTCCTTGAAATAGCAAAAACTGCAGACATATGCGTCTTGTCCTCCAAGCCCCTCAATTGCAGTGATAACCAAAACTGTAACGCATACAATTTCTTACAACGTTGATGACAAAAACAAGGTTTCATAAGTTAACCGTGTTTTAAAAATTTTGGTGGTGGCATTGAACTACCTAACTAATATAATTTGAAAATATC